ACCTGCTTGCTGTAAAAAGGCATTGATTTCGTCTGCTAATACATGATCATTGTTACTTCATCGTTAGTGCTAGCACTGTCATGTTGTGATTTGTTTGTATGACTCAAACCAGGCCCAATGACCTTGCATCAACCCACGGATTGTGAACTCTGCCAGTGCGACTTAGGCTTGAACACAACCAGGTGGAAATGTTTGGTCTCTAAGAGTACATGAACATGGAAAAGCAAAACAATTCATCCGTCAATTCATGCTAGGCGTCTTCAAACTAATAAGCGCAAATATGTAGCCACATTTAACTGCGTGTGTGCAAGAAGGATCTGCTTTCAACCAGGTGAGACTCTTGAGGAGTTCTGAAACGCTGACTAGCCTTGTTTGCATGGCATGTTTTACGATTTGACTTCTACAGATGGACTTGCGAAGTTACGTGTGCCGGGTGAATTGCAAAGAGCTTTGAGTGCACGCAAATCTCACTGCCCTAGTCCATTGAAATGCTCGAAAATTGTCAAGATGTTCAGTTTTGCTAAATTTGTAAATGAGATGATTTGCCTTTCATTCGTGCACGTGTGAGTGTATTACAACGATACTATTCCTTCTTTTCAAAGTTCTGGAGAAGCTTCGATTTTTAATCCGCACGAATCATAAAAAAGCAACTTTTAAATATCTAACTGCTTAGAATTTTATTCATTCCTTTTCAGTGGTCCTGATTAATTACCTGACCATGAGATGTTATCGAGGGATTTAAATACATGGACAGTATTAAACGACACCAGTCATTCACTGCTGTTTAAGCAACATTAATGTAAACAACGACGAAATCAGCGATGGGACATCTCGAGGAATCCTTGATTCCCATCGAGATTTCAGACCACTAAATGACTACTTCTAGGATTCCATAAACACATGAGGCAGTTTTAGTCATGCAGTCTGTAATGCATACTGTTATTGGCCAACAAACTAAACAGACCGCACAAATGAAGACCATGATAAATTAACTTAGTGATTGAAGATGTCAAGTGGAAACCAAATGTACATGGTAAAGTGTGCTGTTTGTGGAATATGGTGCCTGCGATCTCTGCCCGAATGTTGACCATGTTCGACACCACTTTTCTGGCATCGAACTTGGCGACAGGTCTCCTCCGCAACTTCTTCGGCACATTCGCCATTATGCCTGCGATGACAAGTTCGACGACGGTGTTCTGTGCCGGTTACTGGCTAAATGTCTGCCCGCAAACACCAATGCCTTAATTTCAATACACACCTCTGACCAACACTAGACAAACTCGCTGAGATGGCCGATAGAATCCACGAGTGTTTTCCCAAGACAGAAGGTCTCACGACTGTCTGCTTTGGCGCTGCAGTTAAGACTTACAATTTGGGCATCAGTATGTTGGCAGAACGACCAGAAAAGCTGCTACAATAGTTTGGTAAACCTACAAGAGGTGACCCGAGCAAAATCTACAGACATGCGTGGCGACGAAAACGTTCTTCATCACGTTCGCACCGGTTCAGCCAGTCTGGAGAACGATCAGGCCTATGTTGGTGCCATCAGCGGTATGGTGACAGGCACAAGCCTGCAAATATACACGTGGTCATCCCTGGGTCTTCAAGCCGTCCACGTTATCTTTAAGAAACGAGAAGACTGACCAGTAAAGACGACGACTGATTATGGCCCTCAATCCGATTCATTCAGCTGTTAAAAGTTTTGATTGACACCGATACCGAGGTTAGCACAATTCCTCCAGGACCTGACATACGCCACCTCAAAACTTCCGGTCTTCAATTTCAAGCTGCAAACAATTCGCCTAATTCAGCGCATGGCCCAACGTTACTCACCCTAGATCTAGGCCTAAGACGACAATTCGACTTCATTTTTAACGTGGCTAATTTTCTGCGCCCAATAATCGATGGTGACGTCCTTTCCTATATTGGTCAATTGGTTGATATGGCACAACACCACCTTATGGATTCAAATAAAACACTTTCTCTTCGTGAAGTCTCTGCTTCAATAAATTCAATTGGACTACAGCTGACATTGCCTGACCCTAACAGATATTTATTATCTTTTGAAGGAGTTGTCAGAGGTTGTCAAATTGGCTCAGGCGCCCTGCGAACATACTCATCAGATCGTGCATCACAACGTGACTTAAGGTCTGCCAACGGCATCAAAGATCAGACGACTTGCCCGTGATAATCTCGGAGCAGCCAAGAGTGTCGTAGTGTATGGATAAGTGGACGGATGACAGGCATCTGCTAACAGTAACCAATGAAAAGGCGATGAGTCATAATCATCACCAGGTCAGTAAACAGGATTCACACAGGTGAGATCGCTGTTAATCCGCACCAGTTACGATTTACGTAGAAAGTCTTTTTTTAAAATCTGATACCATCTCGTTAATCTTCAGGGTTCTGATTTTCACAGCGTCTTTTAGCAAAAACATTCAAGAATGGCAATATGTGCGTAGAGTATTGATTGGCAGACTTAATAGGATTCAATGAAAATTCAAAGGATGTCTAACATCATATATATATATATTTTGGTTGTTTGCGAAACGTTGACCCTACATTGAGCGAAATCTCGCTTTTGTCTTTAAAATTCCAATCAGTTGTGTTTTACCCTGCAACATATTATGCAGTCAGCTTTAACATTCCAGTGTATTTGGCTGCACATGCAAGCGAAATTACCCCATGTGGTTTGCAAATTTTCAGTCCTTGAATCCAGCTAAGATGAAAAATGCCAACAAATTTTAAATTCCGACAAATTATTTGGCATTAGAATTTCAAGTGTACTCGAGATAAAATTGTCGAAATAGTATTTGCAGTGCGACTTCTTGTTGGTTAACCAAAACATGCCTGAACACAGAAAACTGGATTCATGGTGCTTAATTCGCTTAGCAGAAATGTTTTGTGATACTGTCGGTGCATTTTCATCACCTAGTTGACAGATAATTCCTACATACCTAATCAGGTTGACTGAAAATGAATGATTGAAATCTTAGGCATTTTGATTTTGCAATAAATCTTTTAAATTATTTCGTGCGAATTAAACATCGGAGCTTCACCCGAACATCAAAATTAAGGGATAACGTCGATATGGCGCAATCACACGCGTACGAAATAAAGGTACATCGTCACATTTACGTATTCAGGAAAAATCTACATTTGACACTTTAGGAGAATTTCACTGACTAGAATTGTGTGGTTTGAGGTGCGCTGAACTCTCTTCGTAATTCACCCTGCACACCCAAATTCGCTAAAGCCAATCTTTGGAAATGAAACCGTGTAGCTGATCATGTATGCAATCAACCTCACTCAACGTTGCAGAACTGCTCAAAACCATTAGCTGATGCACAAATATCCTTCGTGTACATATACCGTTAAACAGGACTACACATTTGCGCTGATTATTTTGTAGACGTCCAGCATGAATTGCTGGACGATTTGGTTTGCTTGTGCATGTTCATGAACCATTAGACACCAAACATGGAGTAAATGTGTTGGTGAGATGCAATTACAGAAACTGGTGCACTTCCTGGCATTAATGTTTTGTAGCGGTGTGACGCATTAGTCATTGGGTCAAGTACACGTTTTTAAAGCAGTCGCGTGCCAACTGCAGTGCAGATTATCATTGAAGTGTTAACAGCAAGTTGATGGAAAATTCCGAGTGACCTACGATACTAAAACTGATTTCACGGTTTAGAGTATAACTGCTGTCGCATCGCCTTGCAGTCAAACACATTAACCAAAACATTAGACATGTGTTTTTTGTGACTTGATGACGTGTGTAGCTTCTAAAAACCGCGTCTAGCAATTGCTTTTAAACTTACTCAAATGCTTGACATTAGAAAGTGTTAACAAGGTACACGAAAGCAAAATGTGCGGTCGTGTTCTTATTAAATTGCGAACGACAAATGCTAAAACACTGCATAAGTGTCCAAACGCCAGCATGTTTAGACAGACATTGTATGTTGGTCACGTAAAAGCTGGTGCTTGCAGTTGTGTAAATTTAAACCTGCGATGACCAAGTTGTGTCGACCGCACACAAAATGCGCTGGACGGGTTAGCAGAAATGAGGACACCCTGGGTTGTGACCTTCTCACGTCCCAACTAATTGCCCGATTGAGCATTTTGAATTGTCACGGCATTAGGCAATCAACGCGTTTAGGTTGCACCTCATCAATTTTGAGTGCGCAATGTTAGTTTGCATTGGACATTTTCGAGGAACGCCAGGAGTTTCTTGAGTTACGGCATTCATCGTTAGAGTAGTATTTACTTTAAGTTGACAAAATTTGTTAAGAGCCCAGGGATCCGTCAATGTCAGCCCATAAAGTGGTGAGTGCAAGTATCTGTACACAGGTTAGCAAGGGATAGAGAACAATCAAATGAGAACAGGACAAATTGTGCTGCTCTCATTTATAATATCACGTGGTAACAAAGTAAATTCTCTTCAAAACAATTTAAATTTGCAAACGTGCTCTGCGCCTTTAAAGCCTAGCTGCAAATAAAACCAAATGGACTCCAACGTTTGCCACGTTTTGCCGTAGCCAAAAATAGCAAGCTTAAATAACCGGCAGCCCAGATTGGTTATATTATGGTAGAAATTGCCTTTACCTCTCCGAGCTTGTTCAAGGCAAACCAAAACCTCTAGCAGAGAGTATCCCATTTAGAAGTAAACGGCTAAGTGAACTGTTGAGATGTCTGCTACTGACAACTGCCAATTTCTTTACGTCTTAGCCCAACGAATCAATGGCACCATTTAGTCCAGGTAAAACGTTTTGTGCCGTTCACACTGTGCAATTTTCAACGATGGTGCATCGTAGCTATTCTATTGCTGAGAAACTAGTGACTAGTGAACTGTGCTATTAATTTACAGTCAACTATTTCATTTTTCTACTTATGCGGTGACAAATCCGACCATGAAGACATTCCACAGCCAAATGGAAGCTACATCAGGAAATGAAGAAAGTCGCTGAAGTGACACCCTAGTTTATGTGCCAATGGTTTCATTGAATGTCAAATAAATGGAGGTTCAGGTTTGCTTTGAGGATATAACCACCGCAGGCATTGATTGCCTTTTCAGAGGTGTTCCTGAGTGGAGAACTTCCGATGGAACGCCATTCAGTTTCCGAGATGATGGTTGCGTCCGAGACTGTGTCTAGCTGGACACGAACTACCTGACCATTGATGAGGACGGTTGTATACATCCTCTGCTGCTGTGAAGTGTCTTCCGAGGTGACCCGGAGGCTGAGAGATGCGATGGTGCGGCTGGCTGGTTTGGCTTTTGACCTTTTCTTTTTATGGAGGTAGGGGTGCCGTCCACTCCTGTTAGATAAGGGCTGAAAGGGCCAGAAGAGTGAGGTGGTTTTTGGAAACGTTAGACCGTATTGACTTCAGGAGCACAGCGGCCGCCAGCTTGGACCATTCTGGAGTCATGCAGCACGCTTCTCCAGTGTAGGTATTCATCGCGAACATTGTCCAGCGTCACAGAGGGATTTTGATCAATCAGGTGTAGCAGCCGCGTTCGCAGATCCGTGTATTTAGGGATTTGAAGGCTGAATATGAGAATGAGAGCATTGAGTTGGTCATCAGTCATTGATTTGAATTGACTTTTCTCGCACTCTCGATTGACCACTGCCAGATGATCAAGGAAGTCGTCAAACTCCCCTACTGCGGGTTTCAGGCACTGGCACCGGGTGCTGAATAAGGAAGTGCGTTCTTCAAACCTACTCTTGAGATTTTGAACGGTTTCTCCAAAAGTAAAGTCGAGTGAGGATTTGGGGAGGATAGCGGGAAAGGAGTCTGATTTTCCATGCCTCATCCTGGGACGCGATATCGACTCGGCACAGGTCTTTGTAACGACGATACCAGGACTTAAACCGCACGCCGTTCTCTGGATCATGGGAAAACTCCGAGACACTGTTGGTGAGGCCGTCAATTGACAGCATACTGGCAGGAGTGGCCTGAGACGATTGACGATCTGTCAGCATTGCCATTTCATTTTTCTACTTATGCGGTGACAAATCCGACCATGAAGACATTCCGCATTCTACATCGGAATGAATGTTCCATCAGGAAATGAAGAAAGTCGCTGAAGTGACACCCTAGTTCATGTACTATTGGTTTCATTGAGTGTCAAATAAATGTAAATGACTTCTGCTTTCTCGAAGCCCTCTTAATTTAACAAAGCTTACTGGCTATCAATGCTGCAATAAAGGTGTGCATTTTGTTTGTTTGGTACTTGACCCATTAACCAATTAGAGATACCACCTGAACAAATAAATACCAGGTAATGCACCAGTGTTTGCAATTGTAACTGACTACAATGATATTGTCTCTGCTATATTGCATGTTGTTAACTTCGGTTGAGGGTGGAAGTAATTTCAACAAATCAGGTCAGTTTGCGTTTCAGGAATATGCTGTTTGATTTCAAATGCAAATAATTCGTTTGCTCTACTACCGGCACTTGTAAAATTTTTGCTTTTATATTACCTAGAAAATGCTACGGAATCAGCTACCGTGACGCAATCATTGCTCAGAACGTTGATTGGCAATACGAGAACATTGATGCAGAGTTGCTTTTCAGCGGCTTCATGCGATGCTGGAGGGTCGTACTTCCAGACTGTAAGCTATGCAAACACGCCGTGGAAAATCAAAATTACTCTCTTGAACAAGAAATTACTTTCTGATTCGTCAACATTGTACTCATTTGAATTGCGTACGGATTACTTAGAACTGACAAGAGGCAATTGTGCATCCGTAAGTGCAGTGGAGAAGAAAATGACTTTAATCATGATGCAATTTTCGTGTATTCTTCTGTCTGTCTTTTCGCTACCCAACTAATTTTTTTCAATCGACTAATAACATCTGGTGGGAAACAATTCTGCAATACCATAAAGGCAAGAGTTCGTCAGATAATGTCCGCTGATATTTTACAGACAACAATTCGAGAGGTGGATGCAGAATGGCAAAGACTGCTTCGCAAGGTTCGTGGACCAGTAGTATTTTCCAAATTTGTGCTTCAAGCTGACGTTAAATTCGACCCGGAGGGCCGTGTTTTTATTGGCAACAGTAGACCTTCTTATCGTCACTGGATATCTTTTCCCGTAATTGTTCCCGGATTCACGCGCGCAGACACTTTATCCTTACTTAAAATGTACATTGATTCCGCTTGCTGATCTTTCAAATGCACATATACCGTTCCGGTTACTTTGTCCTTAGTGTTAGTTCTTTTTTGCAGTGGTTTGTGTATGTGACCCAAACCAAGTCAAGTGGTCGGATTGCGACTTCCATCATTGCGACTGAGGCTTGAGCGCAACCAGGTAGTACTCTTTGATACCTATAAGGTACATGATCAAGGAGAAGCAAAACAATTCATCCACTAATACATGGCAGACGTCTTGAAAAAAAATCAGCACAAATCAGCACCCACATTTAACTCTAATTTCCAAGTACAATATAGACAAATTCAGTAAAGACATTTAGATCTTAAAACTATAACGTACCTAGATTGCAACTAATTGCATTTAGGACATTTCCGTGGTGAACTCTATTATTGACAACAATCAACTAAGTAAAATTGGTGTTTGTTTCCGCAAAATGAAGTGTTTCCGTTCTGATGGAAGATGCATCAATGCTTAATTCATGCAGCTAATTTGAATGTTACTTTATTATTGTGATAACAAGCTCATTAATGAGCATAAATAGAGCAGCTCCCTTGAGTTTGTAAATCAGATTTACAGTCATTTTGCAAATGATATCATTAAAATTGAAGTTAGGTACATTGTTGTGTTAGGCATAGCTTATCCTGCTTGTGACTTTCACTTAACTGACTAAGTGATTAGGCACTGTACACAGTAGGCATTTTTCTGGTAGTTTAATTGAAATATTAGGCTAAACGTTGCAAAAGTTAATATTTGGTTGGAGCACCAAATTGAACATGGCATTGCAATTCAATGTTCGAAAACCACAAATTGCAAAAAGAGATATGCGTTCATTTACCTGGTAAATCAGGTAATGTAAAGCCGCCATAACGCAAGAATTTTGTACAGCGATGATTACAGGATGTAGTAATGTAAGACCGATTTATGGCCTGTGGAAAACCATAAAAAATCAGAACTTATTGCAGAACTGCAGGATGTTGCTTAAATGTGGTAATCAAAATACTCAAATGAATAACAGAACTGCAGCGTATTAGAAAAACAATGATTTACTTTAAATTACGGTAAACGTTCCTCAGTTCCATGCATGTACAATTGCTTAAAAGTGAACATCTGAAGTGCACAGGAGACTTTAGGGAAATAGGTAAGCCTTCACGTGTTTCTCTACGATTTTTGCATACAGTTGACGTCAGATGTGATTAAAGTGTACGATAACATATAACATGTGTACTGCCATTTATGCGACTGAGCAACAGTGCAAAAAAAGTATATTCTAAAATCTAGCGGAACTAAGAAGCAGTAGAGTTGCGAACTAACTAAGCCCTATATCACATAAGCATTTCTAGTTTTAGCGAGCCGGGTGAAGTTAGTCATTCACAGGGCCTGAAGTTGCCTTGGACTTTAATTGTGTTGATAGTTCAGCCGGGTTGTGCCAGTTAATGGATTATCCTTGGAAGTATTTTACTAATACTGAAACTACCCAGGACGACGGCTTAAGAATTAACTCTGCCTTTAATTTAAACTTGCATTGAAATTTGCAGCTTGAGCTTAGGAAGCCCTAATGCAGTCGTTAACCGATGAAGTGCGAGACGTTGCTGGCTCACAAAAAAACTGCAATTTCAATTGAAAAGACTACTCTATTTCGACTTCAGCTGCTCTTGTGGCATCTGTGTGCATTAAACACTTCCTAAGCAATGATGTCCAATTTCATGCATGCCTATTTGCACTGTAAGAATACAAGTGTTCTGTGCAATGAACCAAAATCGGAAATGTGAAATCTGAGATCTTTTTTAAAGGAAGAAAATGTGGAAAAAAATATTTTTGCACACATTGTTTTCAAACGTTGTCTTTTAAGGTTTGCGGACAAACGCTGCATGTTTGCAGCGGGTTATAAGAATGCAGAGCAGCTTCTTTGCAAGAAATGATTTTATCAAATGGGGGGTGCTGGTTTTATCGATGACATCTATAGAGGTGTAGAGCAATTTTTTCGACTTTGCAAATTCCATACAAGCGTCGGATATTTGACTGAGGTTAAAACAGGTTACTTGTTGATTAGTTTCACCTGTTTGTTAGTTTGTTTTCTGTAAGTTGCTCCTTCACATTTCCAACCCATATTCATTCAAAGGTTTGTTTTCTTTATTTTTATATAATCACATTTCATGACAGTCACGTCATTTATTTTGACTATCTGCATTGACTGTCAATTAGATTAACACGAAGTTACATACCTACTATCTTCGCTTAGCCGATGATTGATTCACAGCGGCTCCACATAAGGGGCTGCAACGTGATTTAAATTGATCGAGACCGGCCACTATGAATAGTAGTGTTTCTCATAAACTGCTATTGTTAATTTGTTACGCTAAGGGAATTAAAAATTGAAATTAAAATCTAAGCTGACACAGATTTTCCCTAGTATCATTTTATCAGTTCAGAATCCAAAAAATTGCAAAATTCTGCTTCATGGAACTCAGTTCAAATATTGAACTAACCGAACGGCAAATAAGATGCTTGTCTCCTTGCATTAAGAACCATTAGAATTACAAAGTGACTAACTGTCTCACGGAAGAGAACATCATTCCAAGTTAGGCATATTGGATAGGGCCAAGTTTTTGATAATGCAGTCGTTCCAAAACCTGTTACACAGGAGTCACTGACCACAATAAGTACCTTAATTATATTAGAAAAATGCGCGCAAGGCGTAGAAAATCTAGTCAATATGACGCTAAGGAAATGCGTCTATGCAAAACTTGAATATTAATGAAATATTCCTTGATTGCAGCCTTGTCTCTCGTGAAACCCAATAGCGTCATTCTCTGTGCACAATACGTCTGCAAGGTAAGTCGTTCTATGCAAGCAGCAAATGGGATTGATTTCATGGTCTTTATACCAGGATGCACGGAAGGTTGCGAGCCACCCTGGCAAACAAAGTACATCTTGTTCTCAGAGTTACCTGACCGTTTCCAACGGTTTTTTAAAAGTTTGTCAAAGCTGTAAATTCCTGTTTTAAAAACAACAATGCGCTACTAGCTACGCTTATTTACCAACGGCAACAACGGTCTTAATTGCGTTGTAGAGAATTCGCACATTTCGAGGTAAATTGGCATTAGTAAAACGATCATCAATAGACAAATCGAAGTATATTACAAAAAGACAGAAACAGTTTATTGTCTAAATCTTTACAGTTATAAGCGTAGAGATTTTAGAGACGTGGCAGTGGTGAGGTGACACAGGGCTTTAAACCGAGTCCTGAATTAGGTGTCAGGGCATTTGGCATATGCGGCGATGGTTCTTGAATGAGAATGGTGACCAATGAAAAGTTGGGAAGAGGTCATTGGCACCAACTAATGTCACAAGAACGGTTCAGGAAGAAAATTGCTTTGGAATGTGAAGGAATGTTCGAGGAGGTGATAAAAAATGATTGTACTTTTTTTCTACTTACACTAAAGCTTTCATCAAACATCTAATTTGCATTTAGAATAAAGGTTATTCAGGCTGCAAATATGGTTTTCTTTCTGCTCTTGCCCTTTTTCGTCATTCTCACTATTCAAAATGCGTTCTCCGTCGCAATCAGTTGACTCACTTATTCACGAAGCCATCAGGCGAATGCAAACAACTGTTGTCATAATAAGGAAGATTCGTCTCCAAAACGTCTAATGACAAGGCGATCATTTGCCGCAAGCATGATCTGTATTGATCAGCGTTGACATCTGCAGGCCCAGTGGTGACCTTGGCTCCACAGTTGACATTCAAAAATCAAGGGGATGGGCATGCGCCTCTTAGTGAACTCACACACCGATTCAAAAATAGTTACGTTGCAAAACAACTAA